ACAATAAGCTTGAAGAATAAGATTGCAAACTAATAATGCATCTCTTTTGGCGATGGATCTGGTAGTCTCTGTTGAATGGCTCCAATGAAGGTAAACCAGGTGGAAGCATGCTATTGTAAATCAGATCTAGTCAAATCCATCTGGTTAAATCTGATCAACTCATGGTTAATCAGGAAGGGTGAAGACAGCAATCACCAACTAATCCTTGGATTAGTTTTGATGGGTTGAGGAATGCACGTTACAAGTGTGTTAGCTGAATTTTGAAAAAGATGCTTTGGTGCAGCATTATAATTAAGGGAGGCCTTAAAAAGATTCATCTTTTCTTTCCAATACAAGTATTCCAATAGAAGTGGTGGGTTTCAATTTTTTTTACTACCGGTTCTGTGGGTGTGGCTTGGTGGGCGTGGCTTGGTGGGCGTGGCAGGGGAAGGATACTGTAAAATCTCCATTCCCTCCCCGATCCAGGGGAAGGTTACTGCAAAATCCCCATTTCCTCCCGATCAGCTGGGACTCGGGAAGCAGAGAATAGATGGGGTGGAGCCAGTCAGAGGTGGTATTTACCAGTTCTCTGAACCACTCAAAATTTCTGCTACTGGTTTTCCAGAACTGGTCAGAACCTGCTGAAACCCACCTCTGAAGTATTCCAATATTATTTTTATGGAAATAAAGTGACTTGCCTATCAGGAGTGAGCAGAAATATTGGAATAGCGGCCTAGAGAAAGTGTTTCCAGCAGAACTGTGATTGGCTGAGGGCTATTCCTGCATGAACAGGACTAAGGGAAAACCAAATATGAAATTGTTCCAAAGGTGCTTTTTCAGGAGGCAACTGGACTTTCTTGTTTTTTCTTTTGAAGATGTTTCACTTCTCATCCAAGAAGCTTCTTCAGCTCTGACTGGATGGTGGAGAATGGAAGGATTTGTATTTCTTGCAGACAGCTGGTCCTTTGCCTCCTTTTTGAGGATCATTGAAGCACTTGGAGGTTTATCTGTGTCCTCAGGGTCACCTGAGTAGTGCTAATGGTTTCTACTAAGGTGACCCTGTGGACACAGATAAACCTTCAAGTGCTTCAATGACCCTCAAAAAGGAGGCAAATGACCAGCTGTCTGCAAGGAATATAAATCCTTCCATTCTCCACCATCCAGTCAGAGCTGAAGAAGCTTTTTGGATGAGAAGCGAAACGTCTTCAAAGAAAAATATAAGGAAGTCCCGTTGCCTCCTGCAAAAGCACCTTTGGGACAAACATGACCTGGATGACTCAGAATTTCTACAGACAAACATGAAATTCCTTCAGATTCTTTAAAGCTAAATTAAGAATCTGATTAACTCGCCTTTGCCCATATCTATTTCTGTTGCTGAATGGAATGAAGAAAAAAGTCTATCCATTTTGTTACCCTTCTATTACTTGAATTACCTAAGGGAGAAATTAAAGCTGTAAATAACAGAGAGTCATTTTCCCATACTGTTTCCTTATTCCATATTGTCAGGCATGAAAGACCAGGTCCACACTTGAAGATCCAATTAAATTGATTTATTGCTAAGCAGCCTGTGCATAGGAATATTCTCAACCAACAGTTAGCACCTGTTTGAAGTTAAATAAAGGGCCACGAAATTCAAGGGAGGTTGGACATAATCGGATTGTGGCTACATAGGGATTCTAGGCTCATCTCTCTTTTGACTCCATCCCCAGGTTCTGTCACCCCTATTCCTACAATATATCCTACTCTGATGGGTTTAGCTATTCTCTGCATTGCATTTTCAGTCTAATTTTAGTAAACAAATGTATGGAGGGAGAGGAGGAAGAAGAGGAGAGAGAAAATAACATATCACAGACGTGGAACACCAAATAGTGAGAGCCAGCATGGTGCAGTGATTGATGTTAGTATAAAAGCAGGGCAATCCAGGTTCAAGTCAACTTTCGTTCATAAAATTGTGGTAGTCACCATCTTAGAGACTTAGAGAAGGAGAGTTGAGAGCAGGTGATGGACGGAGAAACCAAACCAGGTAAGGAAGGGATTTTTACAAACTTTCAGATGGAGAGACAAATAGATATTGCCTCAGGCCACATTTACATTAAAATATATATCTTTTTAGAAAAACCCAACTCTGCACTTACTATTAAATATTTAAAGCATTAAGCAGTCATATTCAAGCTAACCAAATAAATTTGTAAAAGCTGTTAGCAGCCTGAACATGAATGGGGGGAAAAAAACTATTTTCTTAATCAAGGGCATATGAAAACAAACAAGAGGAGCAGTGCACCTAAACTCAATTCAGCTTGTTGGTTGTTGCTGCTTGTTGGTCTTAACCAGGGTGATAGTCACTTACTTTCCCTACCAGTTTGCAAATGTGAGCGCGTGCATGTCCATGCATGCACCCGGTCTTCTGCGCATGCACTTTGCTGGTGCACGCACCTTCCATGCCTGCGCCCAGAGTTTCAAAAATGTTTACTACCAGTTCTGTGGGTGTGGCTTGGTGGGTGTGGCATGGATTGGTGGGCGTGGCAGGGGAGGGATACTGTAAAATCTCCATTCCCACCCCACTCCAGGGGAAGGTTACTGCAAAATCCCCATTTCCTCCCAATCAGCGGGACTTGGGAGGCAGAGAATAGATGGGGGCGGGGCCAGTCAGAATTTTTACTACTGGTTCTCTGAACTTCTCAAAATTTCTGCTTCCGCTACTGGTCAGAACCTGCTAAAACCCACCTCTGGCACCTAGCCTCAAAAAAGTGCCTCAATAGGATGGCATAGAGCCAGGGTGGGTGGACAGGCCCACCTACTGGTTCAGGTGAACCTGTCCAAACCGGCTGAATACCACCTCTGGTTAACCTTTCAGAGTGAAAATAAAACATAATACTTTAAATGGAATCTAGAAGCAAATAAGCCACTGGTGATCCACAAGTGTCACATTTGCAGAACTATTGGTCCCTAGGAGCAACCAGGGTGTCACAGTCTGTTCTACTTCATCACCATCTATTATCACTGCTGTTTAAACGTATTCTGTCTTTTATTCTGGCTATATTGTCAGAATATAGCAATATAGTTTTGGCTATATTGCCATAGAAATAATCCGGCTTGCTTCGACTTGTAAAGCATTTTAGAAAGGCTTTGAAACAAACCAGAAGGAAGATTTTGCTCAACTCCATGAAATCTTTTAGAGTGGGGATGGGATTCTGTTGCTGAACTACAATTTCTACCATTGCTCATTGTTGGGTGGGAATGCTGGGAGTTGTAATTCAACAAATACTGACAAGCTATTGATTTTCTACCACTGTTGAACTCACAGGGAAGTAAAAAGCTACAGTTAAACTGATTTCAAGGTGCATATGATTTATAAAATAGAGATATGATATGTAAACATGTAACGGGATTCAATAGTTCATTATTATGAAGCTAAAGGACTATGCAATTCTTACAGGGAACTAAATACTAGCAATTATAACTTCTTAGCTGAAACTTAAACTGATTAAAACAAAATGGGGGAAACAGGATATACATTTTGTGATTTCTTCCAATATAAATCCATTTTTTGTGCTCATTTTCTGTAATGGGTACATTTTTCTGTGCAAATTTTGAATGGAAAATGGTATTCCAGAAGTAGGACTAAGGCAAGTATAAATCTCTTACTGTTTTCTGGTTAACATATATATTTGGGAATGATATATTTATATGCCAGGATAATATGAATTAATGATCTAAACAATTTTCTCCCCATTCCTAGATACTGCACACTTGTTTATACCTTTACGTTGACTTCTTTTTTAAAAAAATAAACTCTCACATCCTACAAAGCAGCGTGGTTAAAAAAACAGACGCAAGGGTGCTTAATTCTTTCTTAATCTATTTTATCACTAAGTGCCATCCTGTAGCTGTTTTCTTGAAATACCTTTTGCCCTGGAGGGGAAAAAGAACAAGTATAATGATTTTAAGCAGAAAAATTGCTGGAGGCATAAGTGTTACGTGTGTTGCAGAATTGTTAGTGGAAAGGAAAAATATAAATTCAGTAAATAAAGGAAATTCTTTGGGGTTAGAAAATTACTTGGCTCATCCATTTAGCTCAAAGTCATCTGAGATTGTTTTTCATTACCAAAAAAAAAAAAAAGCAAAACAAATCAGCAGAATGATACACATAGCTAAGTTTTTAATATCTGATCTTGTCTCTTGATTAATTAACATAGTTTTAGGCTTATTTCAATATCATATGCATATTTTAAACTATCTTATGTTTTAGGGAGTTTTCACCACATGTCTTTCACTGCATGTTTGTTATCTTAAGAAATTATCTAAGGTAATTTGAAAAACAGTGGCGGTGCAGTGGTTAGAAACTAGTATTGCAGGCTAACTCTGCCCACAGTCTGGAGTTCGATCCTGACCGGCTCAAGATTGACTCAGCCTTTCATTCTTCTGAGGTCAATAAAATGAGGACCCAGATTGTTGGGGGCAATATGCTGACACTGTAAACTGCTTAGAGAGGGCTGTAAAGCACTACGAAGCAGTGTATAAGTCTGAACGCTTTGCTATTACTAATCAGTATGGCTACCATGCTTGCTGGGAACTCTGGGGATTATAGTCCTTACACGTCAGGAGGAAACACACTAGATAGGGGAATGCTGATCTGCATCTAGATAACTTCATCCAAGTTCTCCCTGAAGTTATCTAGATACACCGTTTCAGCCTACATGTAAGGATCAAATCATTTGGATGCTACTGTGTTTAAAAGTGTTCTCTCCACTTATAATATGGTGTGGCAAGAGAAAAAGCTGTACTCTAGCTTTCTCTTTGTCAAGCTAGTTTTCCTATGTGGAAGAACATCCAAGTAGTGGATTCTCAACGTGCATTTAAAGCGGTACTACACAGATACAGGTTTTTCTCCCCAACCAAAGCTAGCCATGAGCCCAGTCCATTTGTATATGGATTTATATGTTGCTCGGTGTCAGGAAAACAAACCAGATTTTGATGTTTCTGGACTTTTGTTTCTCTCCCGCTCCCTCTTCTCTTGACAGTTTTTTATCATGCTGTTAATTATCTTTGTGCTGGAGCTCACGGTGGTGATTCTTTTCTTCGTCTACACCGACAAGGTACGTCAAAAGAATTTGTTTTCACTGTCTTCTGTCCCTTTCAGCAAATGCCTCTCCCTTCATCAGTAAGTCATGAAGCCTTTCCCTTGGCATGCAGGTCATGTTTTCCCAGACTCTACCACCTCCCTGCCTTTCAGGAATCATGTTCTCTGAATGCCTAAATATTTAATGCTCTGGGCTCCCTCTTCCTTTTCCCCTCTTTCGAGTTTGCTTTCCTTTCAAGGTCAAGCACATTGACAACACAGCCACTATTTAAATATGGAGCAGTTTAATGAGGAAAAACTGATGAAAACTCATGCACTAAAAAGCAGATAATAATCATCACATTAAGAAGTTCATTATGAGAAACAAATGTGCTGAAAGTCCCAAATTGGCCATAGTAAAACTAGCGTTTTCCATAGAGTAGAGGGCTGCATAATCTCAGCTAAGGAATTCTGGAATTACAGTCTTCACATGTCTCAGAGGTGGCAAATCAGAAAAGATGTTGTAGATCTAAATTAAGAAATACGAAGTTAATGAATTAGATGCAATAGGCACAAATAAAGCTTGACAATGTGTAAGTTACTTGGTAGTGCTGATAATACTTGCTAGCATTCAACAGAGAAGTCTGCTCTGATGGCATTCCTGAGAAGAGGAGTGCCACCGTGTTCCTTAAATTTCTCCTATTTACAGAGCTAAAAAGAACAGAGTTTTCCAAAACTGTCATGGTAAGTCGTAAACACTATTTCCTTCCCTATGTGTTTCTTTTTAAGCCATCTGCTCTTTCTTTTCACTTCCCTTTCCCAGCCCATGCATAGAAACTAAAATTCCCCCCTTTCACCACCTGCCAAAATCAGAGTTTCAGTAACCACTTAACCCACAGGTGTTTTTTCAAGAGGCAACTGGACTTTCTGGTTTTTCTTTGAGGATGTTTCGCTTCTCATCCAAGAAGCTTCTTCAGCTCTGACATTCCCTACCATCCAGTCAAAGCTGAAGAAGCTTCTTGGATGAGAAGCGAAACGTCTTCAAAGAAAAATCAGAAAGTCCAATTGCCTCTTGAAAAAGCACCTTTGGGACAACCATGACCTAGATGACTGAGAATCTCCATAGACAGTAAGTACCGGTACTTAAGTTCCACATCTCATAACAAGCTCCAAAGAGAAGCAGTTTACATTAAGAAACAAAAGGAAATAGGCTATCAACTATCTTTATCTGGTGAGCGATAGGATAATAACGTTTAAATTTCATGTATTGGTTTTTATATTCCTCTTCTTTAAGCAGATTAGGTTGGAAAATATTGATGATTCCATCCTCCCCATTCAGAATGGATAATTTTGCTGCTGAAATTCAATGTCAGTTATGAAAAAGCCAGAATTGTTTGTTACAATACATTACCCTCATATCCTTTAAGATAATGGGCAATAATGTTCCGAAAAATTAACTTTGTACCAACAGGAAATACTAAATCAACTTGTATGGAAGATAATTTATGATGTCGGTAATCGTTTTAACTTCATCTGTTCTGAAGGCTTATGAATTAATTGCAGCCCCTTAAGAAGAGAAACTTATCCAAAGTCTTTCCAAAAGATAACTGGATTTTCTTTGTTTTTTTTTCTTTGAAGACTTTTTCATTTCTCATCCAAATTTTTTTTTCAACTGGTAGGAAAGAATGGGGGAATTCTAGTTTCTGACTGATGGGGAGAAGGCCCCAAGGTCCTTTCAGTGGGTTCATGAAGTCAAATAAATATTTTAACTTTTCTCAGTTTTAATTCCTACTACATTACCTACTGGTAGATATAACCCACATAAACTTTGGATTCTTTGGGGCCCTCAATCATTTTAAGAACGTAAAGGGGTTTCTGAGGTGAAAATGTTTGAGAATCACTGGTCTTTAGGATATTTGATGGCATGAAACAAAGGCCATTGCAATGTAGATTGTTGCCCCATTGGTAGAAGGGAGAGTACGCAGAGGTGCTTAACCAGATCAGTCACACACTATAAACAAATTACAACTATTTTGTGGTGTGAAGTTGTTTAAATGTATTTAGGGCTTTTTTCCCTAAATGAATTGATGGCAAATTTTTGTATTCTCCTTCTTGCATTCTCCAATATAAATAAAACACGCTCCTGAAGCTGCAGGAATGGAACACAGGAAAAAAAAACTAATCCACTCACATCAATATTTTCTTTTTTTATTGGAAACTTTTCTGACTTATGTATTTGTTACTTTGAAAGCAAGAAATTGAGTTTGACACTGAATCAGATCAATGTCCAGTTTAGTTGCTGCTCTCACAATGCTCAGCTCTTCTGTGTCACAGATAGTTCTCTTGTACAAAAAATCCATTAACTGGAAGCACTAGGAATTAAGATGGGGCTTCATGCACACACCATCTGCATGCTACCTCTGATCTAATGATAAAAATAATTAATTCTCTTAGGTCACTGCATTCAATTTGATTATTTTCCAGAGCTTTCCCTTATGATTATGGACAAAATAAATTTTCATCCTGCCTCAGAAAGCAGCAGTCAACTTGAAATATTGACGAAAATTAAGTATTTGATTTTCCATAATCTCCACAAACCAAGTTTAGTTTGACTTCATTTAGATGGGACTAAGTTGAGAAAGGTTGTGCCATTATACCGTAGTTGCTTTCCACTGTCTTCTCTAAATCTTCCATGTTCCTTATTTGTGAAACAGAGCCCTACCCAATTCCTAAGAAGCTCCTCTCCCCTTCCCTTCCCTTCCCTCCCCTCCCCTCTCCTCTCGTCTCCTCTCCTCCCCTCCCCTCCATGGGTCAAGATTGTTTAATCATCCTTTGCCATCTCCAAGTTGCTCCCTGTTCAAGTCCTCCAAGTTTCAAATTGTGCTGCTGGTCAAATTAAAGATTACCCCCATATATGCCTGCCTGATTCAACTGTTTCTTGGTATCCCCATTTATATTTCTCTTCATTTTAATTTTCACCCATCATTGCTGGCTTTCTTGAGGACTGAGTGGAGGTCTACTAGGTGAAGATATACTTTCTGGAGGTATACGGGTATACTAATAGTCCTTGACTTATAACCATTCATTTAATGACTGTTCAAAGTTATGGTGCTGAAAAAAAGTGACTTATGACAGGTCCTCACACTTATGACCATCACAACATCCCCATGGTTACATGATCAAACTTTGGGCACTTGGCAACCTGTGATGTATTTATAACAGTTGCAGCATCCCAAAATCAGGTGTTCACCATTTGCAATTTTCCCAGGGGGCTTCCAACAAGGAAGGTCAATGAGGGAAGCCGGATTTGCTTAATGACTCTGGTGATTCGTTTAATGACCACAACAAAGTAAGTTGTAAAGTCAGGCACAACTCACTTATGGACCACATCATTTAGTGATGGAGGTTTTGATCGCAGTTGTGGTTAAAGACTACCTGAATAGCATAGATCCGTGATGGCAAACCTATAGCACGTGTGCTAGAGGTGGCATGCAGCTCCCACTCTGATGGCACGCGAGCCATCGCCCCAGTTCAGCTCTGCTGCGCATGCGTGCACGTCTCCCACCGGCCAGCTGGTTTTCGGGTCTCTGCTGTGCATGCACGGGGGACGGGTCGCATGCGGGGGGGGAGTGTGCTTTGGGCACTCGGTCCGGAAAAGGTTAGCCAAAAGGTTAGTCCTCTCCACCATCTGCCACACCCAGCATGGCAGATAGGGACAACTGGAATCTATTCCAGTTCTATCTGGAGGGTGACAAATTCTCTGCCTTGCTATAAATGCATTGTTCTTCCAGAAAGAGCAACTCACATGTTATTTTAAGATAACTACCTCAGACTTGCCTGAGGGCAAGTGTGAGCACTATATTTTCAGAGTAACAATGCATTTAGAAATACATAATCTTAACTCTCTAAATAATACACCAGTAATAACTTATTCCGCCCTTCCACTTTTAACATCTGTGTTTATATTTTCATTATGGAAGTTTTCCCAAAGGCAATAATAAAGCCCAGATTTACTTGCTTTTGTAACATTGTTTATCATTCTCCAACAGATAGGTTTATTCAGATTTTTCCCTTTCTTCATCTGATTTATAAAAAGAACTTTGGTGCTGCAAACTGGGAAACATAATTCTAGGATTTAAAAAACACATACCCCAAAAGGTCAAAAGTAATGGGAAGGTAGCTGTATTGTGAGAATTATACATATTATTGGCCCAACTTGTGGCTTCAGAATTTAAAAAGTGAAAATAAGCTTAGTAGATTGGAAGTCCAATAAAAAACCAGTCCGTTCCCACAGAGAGGGTCTCCTCAGGGTGCCATCAGCCAAGTTATGTCGGCTGGCGACACCCAGGGGGAGGGCCTTCTCTGTGGGAGCCCCAGCCCTGTGGAACGAACTGCCCCCGGAAATTCGTAAGATCTCCGACCTCCGGGTGTTTCGCTGCGCATTGAAGACCCTGTTGTTCCGCCAGGCCGGACTATCAACACAATAGTTTTAAATTGGGGTATTTAAATTTTTGGGGGTTTTAAATCTGAGCCAATTTATTTAATTATTTTAAATTTTATATTGTTGTTTTGTCTGTGTTTTTAAATAGGCTGTACACCGCCCTGAGTCCTTCGGGAGAAGGGCGGTATAGAAATAAAATTATTATTATTATTATTATTATTATTATTATTATTATTATTATTATTGGATTAGAACAGAATAAAATACTGTCCTGGCAAATCAGGATAATATAAAAAACCAGTAGAGAGGTAATTAACAAGAAAGGATTGCAAGTTTGGCTCCTGTCACTCATCTCTGGCAGATGTCTCCTTCCTTAGACTTCTAGGCCATGGTGGCGCAGAGATTAGAGTGCAATACTGCAGGCTACTTCTGCTGACTGCCCGCTGCCTGCAGTTCAAATCTCACCAGGCTGATTAGTCTTTCATCCTTTCATCCTTCTGAGATAAAATGAGGACCCAGATTGTTGGGGGCAATATGCTGACTCTGTAAACTGCTTAGAGAGCACTGTAAAGCACTGTAAAGTGGTATATAAGTCT